CGATTCGCAGTGCTAATGCTGAGGTTCGATTCTCCGCATGAGTAAACCTGTCCAAAAATCCGAGTGATGCTGGTGACTCACGTGTATTTCTATCGCCATGGACCCTGGCATATTTGTCCAGTGCGATAAGCCAACGGAGCGAGTCTAACCAGTAATGGTGAGAAATTTTCAAAAAAAAAATTTATTGTAAAATAAGGATATTTCATTTGAATACTTCTACGCTAAATGTTAAGAATATATTACGGTTGGAAATAATCATTTTATTTTAAATATAAAATAGCATAAAATAAAATTTTGCTAAGCGAAAAACAATGATGAAACTTGTCGACATAATGTCGGTTTCCAACAATTGCTGAGCACTAATAATGAAAATGCATTTGATTTAATTAATAATGGAAGATATTATTGTTGTGTGTTTGCATTGCTAAAAATTATGAAGGTGTGACAAAAAAGTTATGAAGGTGTGACAAGGTGTTTTGCCTGCAGTAGGTCTTTGTCCAGCACTGTTGCGAATAAACCCATATTAGTGCATTGTTTTTTTTTTATCATCTTATTGATAATTGAGGAGAAATTTTCAAATACATTATTCTTAGCGCTTTAAAGTTGCCACGCTAATATTTTGATCTGTATAAATTTTTTCGCGATTTTGTCATAAAAATAGAAGTCATTTATTTATAAAATATTTGATAAAAAAAAGAAAAACTATGTTAAGTATTACTAAAAAGTTTTATTCATTATTTTAGCGGATCAAATGGCTTTTGCTTTCAATTCGGAACATTTTTTTTTAGATTCTATTTTCTGATAGGAGTGAATTAAAAAATCGTGCTACTTCTTGTCTACTTGAACATTCATCGTTAAGCTAAGACGACCCTAGAACAAAATCCTTACGGTCTAAGTCTAATAGAGCATTTCCAGCCTAAACAGAAATGAAAAACTTTTTTAAAAACTGAATGGAGCTGAATGAACTGAAACTGAAAACTGAATAGCTGAAATTAACTATTAGTTCTACAGTAAATCAACTTGTGTCTCAAATAAAAATCTTATTTCATAAGTTAACATTTGTTTTTTTTTTCTTTTTTTCACGATTCTATTTTTACATGATATAATGTTTTTAAAAAATTTACTTTTCAAAATATCAGTTTTTAAAGTTTTCCCGGACGCTTAACTTGATTTTGTCAGCTGACGTTAAGAAGAAAATGATAAAAGTTGATAGATAAAAACAAAGATAAAGGAGCGTTGATGAGTGTTATAGATGGAGTAAAATTCTCGCTACATCTGGGCGTCACACTTCTTGAAGTATTTTATCGTATCGTTATTTAAGACGTATATTTGCAAATAATCATTAACAATATCAAAATAAATTTTCTCTTAGATTCACAATTATTCACCTGAGAAACTCGTTGAAAATGTTTTCTATCTTCGTTGTTTCATTGATTACGGTTAGCTTGGCATGTAATTATAATGGGAAAACATTAAAGGATGGAGAAGAATGGGTAAGAATTTTTTTGCTCTTAAAAGTTACAATTTTCTTTTTTTTTTAGTAGTACTTCGATGATTTCTTCGTTTTACGCGAATATTCAGAAATAAAGCTTATATGATTATTTAAAAAGTTTTAATCATACTTATAAGGCATTCAAAAATAATTCTATAGATCTATATGAAATGACTGGCTGCAAGGGATTCGTGTATTTATATCCTCAACTAATTCTATGGTGAAAAAGACCGGCTATGTCGTTGCGTCGTTCACGTTCTCCGATGCACATGATATCCTTTAGTCAAGTGGTACACACGATAAGCATGAAAACCAGACCTGGTAAGGTGATTCCTAAGTTTGGGAATAAAGTGAGTCCTTAAAACATGCTAATGGAGACGAATGTCATTAATGCGGCAAAGTGTGTGGCATCCTTGCCATAACATCACTTAACGTTAGAAAGCTCATGAATATCGGGAATTAAACGACAACAGTCTAGACTTTCTCCTGATATCGTACTCATATCGCCTGCCTGAAATTCGTTTCCCTCACGTCGAATCTCGTGTAATTATTATATCTGGAGTAGAAGTACTGTGATTACTTTAGATAATTCAGACGAAACGGCGTAGACATACGTGAAAGAGCCCTGACCCGCTCTAACTAAATAGAAACCAGTTAAGCGGCTAATGACTGTTGTCCTGTGCTGCTTCAAAGTATTCTGCAAAGCCTCTCGATCATTAATGCATACTCTCCTACTTTATGCGTAGATGGCCGTGCAAAAATAAGCTGAGCTCCAACTCTCTTCCTTAAGAGATGACAATGAGATTGAAATAGACGTACTGGTCACGAGTCTGCCACGATGGACCTGTAGTTGATTGACATATGAAGTTGGAATACAGAGTGCGTATGGAAAAACCTTCGCTGCTGCACTAACTTTTTGCTACCAACACTCTGTCTCGAAGAGAAGCCTCCAGCACCGAAGAGAATATGGATGGCCAACATTCCAACCAGGTCGATTATATCCTGGTCATACTTGGGAGAATTCCGTACCAGAGCCGTTCCTATCGCTGTGCTGAAACTGGCAATCTTCATAGATCAGACCATGCTATGGTTCGAAACAAGATCTGCATAAAATCTATATAAATTGCAGGAAATACCCAAAAGTCTTTCAACTCAAGGTAAAAGCATAGCGCATTTCAGATCGAATTTTCGAAATAACTGAAACATATAAATATCAATGGCACTTTTAGAAGGACGAATGTTAGCCTTAATTTAAAAATTCAGAATAATTTATTCAAAAGCTGAAGGCCAAAAACTCCGAGCCTTCAAAATAAAATCTTTAAATATTGTCCACCGTACTTCATAAGTGGTTTTCAACGGATGTCTCTTTTATGGAAGAAAGAATTTATACCAGATGAGTGGAGCAAAGCAATTCTGTTCCCAATCCTCAAGAAAGATGACATACAACTATTACGAGACATCTATGTAGCTAAACTTCCATTGAATAGACTTATGGCAATTAGAGATAGCAGGATGCGTCCTAACCAAGCTGGATTCAGATCGGAACACATTTGTGCTGACCAATTATTCATACTAAGAAGGATCAAAAAATGGCTTCAAATATCATCACTTGTTTGTCGCGCTCTGATGGGTGAAGATATGAGATGATGAGAGAAAAGCATTCGACTCTGGCAGGCATTTTACTAGGACATATTGGTACAGGTTTGTATATATGTGGGACTGACAAATCTTTTCGAAATAAGCACTGGTCAGAGATTTGTCATACGACGTTCATTTATACCACAGATTGAACTGTGGACATCGCTTGCTGGCACTCAAAGGGTGCGAAAATTAGTCCAAAGAATAGTATCGCAGATCTTTAATATACTTATGATGCAATCCTTTTTGCTTATCATGAAATACAAATAAGCCTTGGAACTAATCCTGAATCAAATGGCCAAAACCGTAGCATTCATTTGTTAGGCGAAAGCACCATTTCAGAAGTTGTCTACCTTCGACCACAAATGTCACGGACATTTTCATTGCTAGGTGGAGATAAATTATCCATCTCTGCAAAGCATCATCTTATAGAGCATCGCCTGTACTGGTCAGACTATGTTCTTCGCCGATAATCGTAGAAATTGACCACCTATCTTGAAACGCGCTAAACTTCATAATGAATTACGTCAAAAGTGAAAAGGACCAATCAAAACTGAGCTGATGAGTTCAGAAGAGAGATTGCATATATAGGAGGCTCAGCGAAATATGGGTCAGACGGTGAAAAAAGGAGAAAGGCTTCTTTTAATATCATGCATAAAGTGGCTTGGAGATACCTTACTTTTGTAGCCAATGCAGCCAAAGTAACCAATAATTGTGAGAGCGATTAGAGGAAGAATAAGGGATTATCAATGCTTTAGGGCTATATAAAAATAAAAGATAAAAATTGCCTAAAATTTATGAACAGAAACACTACTTTTGGATTTTTCAAAAATTCTTTTCGTGTTTGGATCAAAATGTGGTGCATTATCAGAGCAAATGAAAATGAAATACGATTATGATAAGAATGATCATACGGAACTGAATTGCTTGCGAAATAGAAACATAAAAACTTTCCCTTTTGATTTTTAGAAATATTTAAAAATTCTTTGTTTTAGTTGATAAAACTGATAATGAAAGGCATACTTTACTTAATCTTTTATTTAGCTATTTATTTTCTTTATTTTTCACAATTTACAGTTTTGCATGCAATTTTAACATTAATGTTATTTGAAAAAAACTCGGATAGCAAAAAAAAATAGTTCTCTCATCCCTCCGTGGGTGGTCATACCCAATCTCTGTTCCTCGACCAGAGAGATTGAGAAGCATTATCTTAGCTGTTCCTAATAGTGCGTTTTTCCGGATCGAGATCTCTGGTGTTATTCCTGAAATCTGCTGCTTCACTTCTCTAGTTTAGGAGTCACGCTTCCAAATGCTGCAAATATAGCAGATAATAATTGAGAGGTAAACTTGTATGCTTTAGAAATTCCATTTCTATAGCCACAAATTAGGCATTCTTCTATTAAAATCATTATTAATTGATAAAATGATAAAGTGATAGTAGTAATCAGATATTTTTTTATAAATTTATGAGCCATTTCCCATCATTTTGAAGTTATTAAAATCATAATAAACACGTTTTTTTTAAAGATTAAATATATAAAACTGTACTAGATTACTATATTACTATATTCTATTCTATATTCCGATATTTTGTTGCCCAAATTCGTCGAAAATAATCAATTAACGATTATTTTTCAAAAAATTATAAATTATTAAAATAATAATTTTCAAAATAATTTTATTAGGAATATAAATTTTTTCAAATCTCTACATCACTTACAAAACGTTAAAAAAAAAAAAAATCAAAATATTGATATGATATTGATATGTGCTTAGTAAAAGTGGTTCTCACATTTACTCGCTAAATTTAAAATTTAAATGGTAGAAAAAATAAAATAAAATTTTAAAAGCATATAAATTATGGAAAGTTATGTTAAAGACTGAAAAAAACGTATTCATTATGCGATGCACAATGATGGATGGCGGATCATGGAAAACGGAAGTAACCGCTTGTGTAACACCAAGCGGTATACGAATTCCGATTAATGAGACACATAAAGATGAACGCAGTCAATGGACTTGTTCAATTACACCTGATGGAAAAATAACGATGCAACATGGAGTAAATCCGGATGCGAAATGTGACGGTCATGATGTAGGTAGGATATGATAAAATATTTTATGAAGTTAAAGTATTAATAACTTAAGTTTTCCACGCTTCACGCGGAATTATTTTTCTTCTATTAGCCTGTATTATTGCTGATTTGACTTGGTCCATTGACGACTAGCACAAGTCGCATTCAAGCAATTCCTGAAAATAGCTGAAGCCACATCTCTTTCCTCCGTTTAATCATATCTATCGCTGGATTGCCTATGCGTTAAAAATCTCCTTTGAAATTGGTCCGCCTTTCTTTGATGCCATTCATCACATGGTTTAACAAGTAGTGTCAATCCTTGGAAATGCTTTAAAATCTTCAAATATTAAAATTGCAATCAATTTTGAATCTTGATTTTTAATGAAATACCAGTATTAAGGATCAAAATGGATCGAAAAATCATTTGAATTTGAGTGCATGCCTGGTGGTAATCCAAAATTACTTGCCTGTGTTGGTGAAAACTCTCAAAAAATTCCTGTTGGTACGACTAAAGAAATTGATGGATACCAAATGAAGTGAATCAATTTACATTTTATATTTTTTGTATTTAGGATTTTATCCGTTCAATAATCTTAAATGGGGATAGGATGGCTCAGTGGGTTGTTGCTCAATTAGGAGCGCCGATACTAAGGTTCTATTCCCAGCAGGAGTAAATCTGTCCAAAAATCGGGATGATGCTGGCAACTCACCTGTCATTCTATCGCCCTATCCAATGCAACAAGCCAGCGGAGCGAGTTTTACCAGTAATGATGAAAAATCTTTAAAAAAAAATCTTAGATAAAAGGCAAGAAATAAAGTAGTTTTTCGAGGAATATGAAGATAAAATGTGAATATTAAGTGGCTAAAACTTATATTATTATGGAAATCACATTAAGGTCTGAAATAATAATCTTATCATTCCGATAAGTTAGCCACTAACTAAGCAGTTGATTAATAGAAAAAGTATGAAAGTAGTTATTTTCAAATTATATCCATGAGTATATGCAAAGGCTCAACCTTTAAATTTATGCGAATTCTTCTAAATCTCATGAATAAAATAATTCATTGAGCTAACCATAAAAAATATTTATCAATAGTTGTCAACAGTTTGACAATGGTACAATAATTCTTCATGGAACACGTAAATCTTTTAAACATGAAAAAGGAAATGCACAAACCGAATGTGTTGATGCGCATGGAAATCACCATCCCGCAGGTTAGTAAAAATTTAATTGGTCCCGTAAGTCACAATTAATGTATGAATATGAACATATAAGGGCACAAAACTTGAAACGTGAAATTGAATACCTCTGAATGGTTTACTATCACTTTCAAGTGATAAGTGATAAGCGGCAAACAAAAACGATGACCTGTTTAATGTCTAATTTTCATTGGTTCAATTTTTTGCTCTAAGTGATCAAGTCAAAGCCTCTATTTATATTGCATTTCCCTTCCACACTTAAAATAATTTCTCAATTTTCTATATCTTTTTTAATATGTGCAATATGTTAAATAGGAAGTACTTGGCTTGAAAATGAACGGTTCAATAAGATATGCACAGAATCAGGTCGTATTGATATTGAAAGTTGCGTAACACAAACAGGTCAAAAAGTACCCATCAATGGAGAACTGATTGAAGGAGACACTAAATATGTGTATGTTAACTTGAAGAATTATTGAAGCGTAGAAATTTGGAAATATGGTGACTGAGAAATTTTTCGACTTCTGGTTAAAAGCAAACAGTTTTATTATTTTACTCGGGTGACATCTGTGAACCGATTTGTATTCCCCTCTTTTATTCTTTGGTTAAAAGGGAATTTAAAATATGATAATCAGCTGTGAATTAGCCGAATAAGAGAAGAGTCTCATTCCAGACTCATGAAAGGACGAAATAAATATTTTCATAGTTTCATAGCTAATATTCATTTAAAAAACAAACTTGGAAAAAATGGTACCAAATCTAAACGATTGGGAAAATATTACACAACTTTAGCATAAATGTTCAGCCAAAATTTTGTATTCGTCGTTAGAAATTGCAGATGCGAAAAAACCAAAGAAGGTGCAGTTCGCTATTCTTCCGGTCCAAAGGACGAATAATGCAGCCAAGCATTTTGCCTAACATGGTTTTAAAAAGAAAAAACATTCGGTGTATTTTTGCTTTTCAACAGATTTTGAAAAAAATAGAAATTATGTGGTCAGATTTATTTGATAAAATTCTTTTTTTCAAAAACATTATTTCATATTATAGCAGTCAAATAACTATTCTCTTTACAAACAGAAACTGAGACTTAAACTGATTGCTCTGGGCTATCGGTAAATGGAAGCAAACTGCTCAACAAAAATGTGAACCCAAAAGTGGCACTTGGACCAGTTGTGCATTTAATGATTAAAAATATTTCACCAGCGAGTTAAATAGGACGAAAACAATTATAAAGAGTCCTCTAGCCAACCGTAACTTTGATTTTTACTGAAATTATCGATAAAGTAGAGCACCTTATACAATTCTTGATAAGTTAGCAGGAAGGACTGTGCCTGATTTAGCGCACCACGCACTTTACAATGCCTTCCAAATTTGCCGACCTCTCGAATGCCCATAAGGTGAGGTAATAGTCCAGCCTATAGAATTGAAAACCACAAAATAACAAAAAAGTAGTAGAATGGTTCGGTGCATTGTTGTTCAATTCAGAATACCGATGCTGAACTTCTACTTCCCGTAGGAGTACATCTGCCTAAAAATTCAGGTGATGCTGGCGACTCAAATATACTTCCATCGCCAAAAGACACCCTGGTATTATTTACTTATATTTGAAGCGATTTTCCAATATCCATCTTAATATGAATATTAGCAAATTCACCCAGTCTAAAAAATGGTTACATGTCCATGTTCGAGCAGCGAGATGAGTGAGTTTTTTATTCAGCAGAAAGGATAATCTTTCAAAAGATGTCAATTACTATGATTTCTAGATAGTTCACCTTACTACTTTCCTCGGGAACTAGGAAAATAATTCGACTTCTCCCTTTCCCCAGTCATATAATATTTATACATAAAATAATATTTTTTCGGTAATATTTATTAGTATAAATAAGTGACGGTTCGGCCTATAGTCAATTCACGGGTGAGAGAAAAAACTGATACTATCGAGCAATTAACAAAATAACGAAAAATCGAACTCATTTGGAAGATATCAAATTGCTTCGAAATTTATTTTCTGAAAGCACCTATAAACCATAACCAACCGATTGGAAATAAAATACAAGGGGTTCTCGAAACTAAATAAAAAAAACAGCTTGGAAAGACTTGCATTTGTAAAGACTTCTACTAAAAAGTTATGGTCAAATCAAAGAGTTTAAACGTGATAAATCAGAAGTTTTGTCAACAATTTAATATACATCCAATCTGAAAGGTGAATGTCAATTTCAAGACACATCCTTTCCAATAAATATTGGCATTAAAAAAAGTTCTCAACAAAATTTCTCGGAAAAATATTATTTTTCAACTTTTTCTTCAAAATGCCCAACTGAACAAGTTTTCATTTATTAAAGATTTCATTCTGCCACGGCAGCGGTGATATTTCGAGTAGAATCTGAACCATTCTGAACCATAAGACCATCTTTTTTCAAGTGAACTGCTTCAGACCAAGCATGCAGCACGGGATCATTTCGCATACTATGATGTGGTGGACGATGGTGAAAGTGATATTGTGGAGCGTCTCTAGGTACAAAAGCCTCTGGTGGCATGTCGAATTGATCATTTCGTAACCTGTCCCTAAAGAAAAAGATTCGCAAATCATTTTATCTATCTCGTCACCCATGTTTTAATTGAAGAAAAACGAGAAAAGAATATAGAATATAAAATATATATGATAATGTCAAAAAGCGGAAACCCAAACATGGCCTGGATAGATAAGGTTCAGATATCTTAAAAACATAGGCGGTGTTCAGCAATATATGGACTCAAAAGGCTAAAAAGAAGAGCTTACTTTTGCTTTCTGAGACGATAATTTCTGTGGTCCAGAAATAAGAAACAATGAAGAAAAAAGGACGAGAGAGTAAAGGAATTATTTCAATAATTTAACATTAACACGCTTTATTCATCGTCTCAATTTAAATTTTTAATAAATCTGATATTTCTTAATATCACCAGAATAAAAAAAAAGACTAAGATTGATGAAAAATTTGAGAAAAAGATGGAACAATATTAGAAGTATATGGAAAATATAAAGACTGGACTGATGGCAACAAAGTTAAACAAAAATTTTGTTTACGTATCGAAACCTAAGTTAAAAAGATATTTCATATTTTCAGCGAACCATTCCTTGAAGCATAATGCATATTTAAGTCAAGGAAATGCTAGAAAAAAATCTAACAGTAGTTAAAGAGACTTAATGACACGATAATCTGTCATTTAATATCACAAATGATAAAATATAAAATAAAAAATGAAAAATATGAAAATTACCATCCATGGCCATAATATTTCCCTGACTCGGTTCGTCGATCAATTCGCCGATTACGCTTCCATGAATTTCGGTTTTGATGCAAATTTTCATCTTCGTGAAACCTTTTCCGACCAGATTCATGTGAAATAGCTTTCCCTTTATTCCCTTGCGCTTTACACCCATTTCGAAAGCCCCTACGACCACCGAAGAACTGAAAAAATAGTGGAATCAATGGATAAATGAAAAAATAAGAGAAGGATATTATCAAACAAAAAATTTTACTTGCAATACAAAAAACTGAACTAACATGACCAAATCGACCACGATTAAAATCATTATTCCGTTCCTGTTGTCTTTGTTTTTCTCGCATTTCTTGAGACTCTTGTTCACTTAGCATAACATAATCATTAAATTGATCATCTAATGTTATAATAAACGTAGGATGATCTATAATAAATCGATTTCTTAAATTATCAAGAATCGACTTGGACGCGTCCACCACATAAAACCTGAAATTTCATGGAATGACAGAACAGCAAGTAAAATTTTAAATAAACAAATGGTTCAAAATTCAAAATTTCGTGGCTATTTTTTCTCATTTTTTGTTAGCTTCATTTGCCTGTTGATCTACCGGACTAGATTTTGCCAAAGGGCTAATCGGCGATGAAAATACAGGTGGATCGCCAACAGCATTCGAATTTTCGAAAGTAGGAAGAAAAATTTGAGATAAGAATAACTAAAATGGTTAAATTACCTTCGTTTATCAGCGATTGGCACAGGCATATATATCATCAATCTATCCATACCTGCATCCTGAAATGGTAATAACTTTTCTTCATCCAGTTCATCTTTGTTTACTACTGGACCGATCTGAAAATTTTTTTAGCAAAAAATAAAAAATTCCTTATAAAAGTAATTATCATTTTTTTATTCCAATTTTGAATATTATCACAAATTCAAAAAAAGAAGTTTAGGGGAATACACATCATAAAAAACTAGAATTGAATGGAAAGCAATGTAGCAATACTTTTTTTGGTTTGATGAATTGTCGTATCAGAGTTTTTAGTGAAATACTTTCTGGAATATTATTCACTGAAAAATTATAGTCAACAACGCCTTTTTCACCATCTTTATTGATTTCACGACGAAATATTAACAATATTGACCAAAATATGGTGTCAGAAAATTGCTCATGACGTGATTCCTTGTCTTCTTAACATTATTAAAATGAATAAAAATTAATATTAAATAAAATTTTAAAGCTTTATAAATTATATTTAGGAGATATCAGCGAATTTGCAGATGTATATATATACATATGTACATATATTTTAAAATAATTCAGCACGCCTCTCAATAACAATTCTACTTATATGTATAAATAAGATATAGTAAAGCGAAAGTAAAAGTGTAATTGAATTTTTTCGCAGCAAACCGAGCTACTGTCTAAATGGCTTCTTGTTCTTAATATAAAAATTTCAATTTTTCGTTTTCTGCAAGATCTTGTATATTTTCTGCATTTTACGAGTTTGCCAGGAAATAATGATCTTATACATTTTTATCTGATATATGGTGCCGTAATATTTGCTGGAAATAAAATGTAATAAAGAAAAACTATAAAATGTAAAAGATTACACGACTAGTAAAATAGAAAATAACCTTTGCTTGCTGTAATTGTAAGCCAAATGCGTCGCCTACGAGCGTTATTCAATAAATATCGTTGAACTGGTGTATAACATAAATCCGATGATTGTTGCTCGTCTTCGACTGTTTCAATATTTGTATTAGAAGCTTTCAAATTTTCATTATCAGCCTAAAATACCACAAAAAGAATTAATGCCATAAAAAATCGTCAAATGGATCTAATATTGCAATTTTTACTCCATCTACAAATGCTTTAAAATTTTCAGACATCAACTTGAGAAATTTGATTTTTCTCGTCTAAATGATCGTCAATAGCTTTTATTTCATGATTAGTTTCTTTTCGTGCTTCCAATGAAATCATCGCATTATTATCAAATTTCTCCAAACAATTTTTAATTTTATCCAAAAATTTCGTATCATTTGAAGCAACATATGCTGTATAATCCGTGATGTGCGCTATTTGATCAAATGACGAATCTTTCACACCATTACACTGAAATATTTCATATATGTAAATTCAAAATTATGACATTTTGTTAAGTTTAATGATTTATTCAGTAATAAAATAATAAAATTATAAAATGATGGTAATGATGTGATAAAATTTTTTAATGACAGTGATAATAATATTAAGAAAAAGTAATAGTTTATAAGGACGATGAAATCTATAACAACCCTCACGTGGTAAGTGAGGATCTAATTCGAGTAGATTCTTATTTTACTTAAATGGATAATATGGATAATGGATAAATGAATAATAAATAATTCTAAGTAATTATTTTATACAACTTATTAAATTCATTTTTTCCATAGAAAAATTTAATGAATATTTTAAAACTTTAAAATTTGAAAATATTATCCCTGGTGGCAGATGCATGCATTTTTTTAAGCATAATCTATGAGTTCCATGGAAAAAAATGACCACCAACCCATGCATTTTTATAGTGTAATCTAGTGAGATCCATGAAAAAAATTATGGTGTCCACTAATTTAAAATTTCCTAAAAAAAAAACTAATAATTAATAATAATAAATAAAATAAAATAAAAAAATCAAACGTTAAGTTTTTCTTTATGTAATTTTGAGCAAATTAGTGAACACGTTCGATATGAACATTTCGGGCATCGATATTTACGTAATTCTTTCAAACAAATATCACAAAAATAATTAACAGATGCCGTTTTTGATGTTGAATTTGTCATTTCCAATTCACTTTCAACCATAACGAAAAATTTTTTTGCAAAACTAAAATACAAATTTATTTATAAAATATAATATATTTTGATAAAATAAATTTAAAGATAAATTGAAAAAAAATTGATCAAATGGAACCAAACAAATGGGACAAAGGGGACATAGAAGATAAGGTATTTATATATAAAAATCATATGAGTATTCACCTAAGCGACCAAATGGAACCGAGCAAAAGAAACAAAAAAGACAAAGGAGATACGGGGAACTTGTATATAAAAATCATACGAGTATTCACCTAACAACACTACTAACCCTTTCGAAAAACCCTTCCCCCACCTGTGTTAACAACGACCTATCTTTCCCACATTACATTCAAAATTACCCTTCATCTAACAGTCGGATTTTAATCGTAGAGCGACTTTTAGTAAGGAAATTTTTATAAAGACTAACAAATAAATATTCTCCAGTGGAAATAGAAATATTGGTGAAAATTTTAGAATATTTCGAAATTTGGTGAAAATGAAGAGAAAGAAAAAAGCAATTCACCGGTTGGTCTTTCGGTGCGCTAATGCCAGTGTTCTATTTTCGGTGGAAGTAAACCTGTAAATCTTTCAAAAAATTCGAGTAACGATGGCATGTTTTTGAGTGATTCGTCATTAGCGAAACTTATTTGATTTCACTAAGTCGAAGTCAGTCGAATAAATTAAAAATTGTGATCGCTATGAGAAAAAGAAAAATATAATAAATATTTATAATAAATATAATAAATATTAAATAAATATTAAAAATATAATAAATATTTAAAAATAATAAAATTTAATTAATTTAAAATAAAAATAAAAAAAAATAATTTTTTTTTATTTTAAATAAAAAAATACAATTGAAATAAATTTTTTAAAAAAAATTTTTTTTTATTATTTTTCTATAAGCAAAAGAAAGAAAGATTTTTTTTTTGATAATATTGTATTATAAACTGATGCAATAATTTAAAATTATTTCATATGTTAATGCACAAACAAAGGAAATAATGCAAACAATGATAAAAATTTAAAAAAAAGATTTTTCCATTTTAAGCCGATTTATATTGGAATTAAAAAATTACAAGTAATTATTACAAATTATTATTATTATTTATTTAATAAATATAATTGCAATAATTTTACTGATTGAATAACTTTATGCTAATTCTACTTTATTATTTATATGATTTTTTAAAAAATCATATTTTATGTAATAATTTTGATTATATTATATATATAATACAAAAAAATATTTTAAAAAATATATATTTAATTATTAATAAATTTGAATAATTATGTAATACAATATATTATATTATATTATATAAATATTTTGTATAAAAAATATTTTTAAAAATATTAGTAAATTAAAATAATTATAATATTAAAAATATTATAAAACTAAAGCAATAAAAGTAAGTTATTTTGCAAAAAAAATTAAATTAAATTTAAAAATTATGCAAAAAATTAAATTTTACGATTTTTTTAATTATAGATTTTTTTTTTATTATATTTATTTTGAATTATGATAATCATATTTATTGTTATTATACAAAGCCGTTTAATCGTTTAAGGCCGTTTTTTAGCCAAGCGGCTTATACGTTCAAAATCTTTCCTGACCGTGTCAGTTGTACGTCTGCACTAGGCATACTCGTTTCTAATCTCTGCCACAAGATTTAATAAATAAGAGCTGATGAAAAAATGAAGAATTTTTAAAGAAATCTTCTTTTGAAGATTTTCCATCATTTGAATGTTGAACTATTATTTATAGAATGGATTATGATAGCCAATTTCAATAATTTGGCTTTTTTAATCTATAAATATCGTTTTACTCCAAGATAAATGTTCATTTTATCTGTTATACTGATTTATATTATTAAAAACTGATAATTTAAAAAAAAAAAATTCCCAGACAAAATTAAATTTTCAAAAATATTTCTGATAAATGATAAAAAAAATCGCCTAATATCATTTTGACTTATCACATAAAATAAATGAACTTTTCTTCGAATTTTTTTTATCATTTTTTTCTATATTTATATTTTTTTGTACTTTTTATATTATTCTTTTATTATTTTTAATTGGATTATTTTTTAAAATAATCATGGAAAAAGAATTATTTTAAATAATTTTTACTAGTAGAAATATAAAATTATTAATAATATTAACTAATAAAATGAATTAAAACGATTTTTGGCGTTAAACTGATTGATTAATCAGCTGTTTTTTTGAAAAACATTGTGGAGAACGATTTCACTCCCCATCCCCCCCCCCCCCCCCCCCCCCCCCCCCCCTTCTCCCGTCCTCAACTATTCATAATATTTTATTTACAATAGGAAATATAAAAAGCGGGTTTTTATTGTTTAATAACATCAATGATTAAACAATATTGTTGCCCTATTTCCAATAATTAACACTAAAATTTAAAAGCACATTATAAAATGACCCATTTCTCGATTATCACCTTCTGCCAGTTCATCATAAAATCTATATAGATGCATTCAAAAAATCGAAGCAGAAACCGATCTGCTATGCGTCACATATTATATCATATCAGTGATAAACCTGAATATCGAGAATAATCCATGTCTTAAAGAAAATGACGATAATGATTGTGACTGAAAAAAATGATTTTAACACTGAGATGATAAATGCATTTTGCATAGAAAGATAAAAGAATGTTATTAGACTAATATAAAGTTAGGACAATTTGTACTGGCAATATCCATCTGTCCGTTCCTCCATAGCTGTCTTTGACCGTCTTTATCAGTCGTATCATTACTCATTCTTTTTTTTTCTCCTATATAAGAAGTTGGACATCATAGCTTTGATAAACGAAAGAAAGAAATAAACTTATCGTTAAAAGTGAGATTCGGATGGTACTGAAGGATCTTTCTATTCCAAAGCAACTCTCTGGTGAAAAGTTAGGCTTAAACGTAGGTTTACTAGAATTTAAGTGGAAAAATCGGTTTTCTGTTACAGTAGGCAGTATTTTATCAATGAAGCATTTTATCAGTCATAGACTTTTTTATCTCTCCATTTTTTATCATTATTTTCTTATCAGCACAAATCGTTTTTGGCTAAGACACTGATTGCCAGATAAGCCAAATTTTCTCAGAGGGTCATTTAACGATAGAAGTACATATGAGTCGCCAGCATAACTCGAACGAACGATTTTAATGCTACTGAAACCTCGGCATCGGTCTTTTACCAAAATTAATTATCAAAATATTAAATAAAAATTATTATTTTCTTTTTCTTTTCCTTTTCCTTTTTTTTTTCAGTTTTAACCATTTATTGCTTTGTTGAGCATAAATATTTGAAATCGGACGAGATGGGCGGAGTTTTCTCAAAAGCATAAAAGAGCGCAGAAGTGCGAAACATATCACTGTCACCAATAAATCGCTAGTCGTCGCCCACTGTGTTAATATTGTTGGTCTTTCACCGCGTTTTAGGATTTTTGGATTTTAGTATATTTGATTTATTAAAAGAAATAAAACGTATTTAATGACAATGCAAAACGGTGATATTCATCGCACAAATTCCGGTTATCTTTCTTTAAATTCTATTTCAATTTTTTTTTTTTAAATTAATTTTATGAAAAAAAAGCGATTTAAACGCGGTAATTTTTAATAGAAATTTGTGAAATTTTTTTTCGAAAAAACATTTTTATATATTGAAAATAATGAAATTAAATATTTAATAAATATTTAATAAGTGAGTTGGAGAGAGAGAGAGAAAATGCTGAATGCTTGAATTACTCGTTTGCTCAATTGGTTCGCAGATATTATTTAGGCTTAAAAAATTATTCGCTAATGAGATGACGTTTTTCCTATAAAAGTTGTGCTGAGAAATATATATTAGTTTTTTAAATTTAATAACGCAACTTCACGTCGATTATTTTTTCGCAAATAAAAAAAATAATGTTTTCACAATTATAAATTGAGTTATTTACAAGAATAGAAGCACCACATTTTTTTATGAAATAAATTTACAAATCTTACGCGAAATTTTGCATGAATTACATAGCGCGAAATTTTTGCGTGAGATGTTTTGGAGAATAGAAGCACAACATTTTTTGTGAAGTAAAATTACAAACCTGGCACGAAGATTTGCATGAATTGCGTGGACTTTGAGTTGATTCGGGTAATATATTTTGAGAAATCGCTAGACGTATAGAATTCGTTTTTGCGTCGCGTATGATTGACGTTGCGTCAATCTTGAAAGGGATGGAACCTTGCATATTCTTGGTTAAGATGAATTTTTACGCCATTGCATCATTTAGTTCCACGTTTTGAAATTTGCAGTTACGATTTTTTTTTACTATATTTTTGAGAATATATCTAATGTACTTTATTTTACTTTATCACGGAAAGAACAAATTGTAAACATCCAAGGAAGAATTGTCAATAGGAATATTCAACTATTCGATTCGATTGACAATAATTTTAAAAAATAAAAGAAAGCAAGCAGATTTCGATTTTTGTAAATTTGATGTGTTTATGTGGTTGGTTTTTTTAGGGTTCTGTAGTAAGAAGAAGAGTCATAAGTAATAAAGGAAGTTGGGTTCTCTTAGTAAAAGTTCTTCAAACAAAAAAACTCGAGAAATGCACAAATCGATCCAAAGTGTAATATCACAGATTTTGAAACAGATGATATACATTGATGATATACTTTTTGCTGATAATTATGATGAAATGCGAATAATGCTAAACAATTGAATTCGAAAACCTTTTTGCCTGATAGATCAGAAATTGATAAAGTGCTATCGGTTGGGGAAATGCCAAGTTTTAAATATTTCGAACTCAGACTAATTCGAAACGATGAAACGAAAGTTGAAATTACAACCCGAATCACGGTAGATAGAAATGCGCTGATGGAATCGTTATGGAGCCTTTGCGAAATTACTGTAAAAATTGAAGTCCTTATCTGTATTCGCTGCAATTCATTCGATTTTGCTATGTGGCTGCGAGGCATGGCCGATGAGTAAGATAAGGCTAATATTAAGTTATCTATCTTTGATCATGTCTCTGATATTTCACGGATTCGCCTAGCCGATAAAATCTCATATAATTGCATGCATCTTCGCTCAAATGCCTACATTAATGATATCACAAAAGGGCGTCACCTTCGCTGATTGGGTACGTTCTTCATCGCACACCATATTTATTTGCTAAGCCTTGTAACGGGTGGCATCGAAAGCGAGGTAGCACAATCAAGAGCTGGTCCGATATAATCGGGAAAGATTTTGAATGTATAGGTTGACCAGTGATATATAAAAGAAAAAAGGAATGGTTTCTTTTACTATTAGCGATTACATCGAATCGAACGGCTTGCGAACGCCTTACCGTTGTAGCCAACGGAACAAGCCTAACCAGTAATAGTGAGAAATATTAGAAGAAAAAGAAAGGAGAATTATTTATATTACCGAATGAACTTAAAAAATCAACATCCTTTTTCTTTTTTTAAGATTTTCCATTTAATCAAATTTTGTTGTTTAATTTAATTTTCTTTTTCAATTTCAGAAATTTTTCGTGATCAGCGTTTTTTATTCACATCAGAATCAGTTGGTGAAGGCCATCCAGATAAGATGTGTGACATAATTTCTGATGCAATTCTTGATGCTCATATTGCTCGTGACCCAAATGCTAAAGTTGCTTGTGGTTCGACTGGATTTTTTTTAGAATCATTTTATTAATTTTTTTTAATGTATATTTTATACAATTTTTTTTATTATGGCCGCTTAGCGTAAATGAAATGAAATGAAATGAAATGTTTATTTGAGCGAAAATAAATAAGATTGAACAAGATTATAGGTGATCATTGTGGATGACAGGTAAGTTCAAATTTCAATTTCTGAAAACAGCAGAACTTTTTTGTTCGACTTTTTTGATTTATGGATTTTATTTGCCCTACTTTTTCTCCGGTTAACTTGTAGGAGCAAAATAAAGTTCAAAACAATACTACTAGTTTTAGAAGCCATTAGTATTAGATGAATGATTTTATGGGTAAACCTATGAAAAAAATTTAGGATTAGGAAGTATTTAGGAAAGGTCGTGGTTAATCGAGATTTTAAATTTTTCACAAAAAATCGAATCAAAATTGAACTAGGTTTATTGCAGGTTGACAGTTGGATTCGCCTGCTTGAGCCGTTTCGGCTTGGCCGCTAAATTCATTGTTTCTCAGTGCAGCTAACTTTTGTCCGTTTTTATGTTACTTTATTACAGAAACGGTAACCAAAACGGGCATGGTATTGCTGTGTGGAGAAATAACCTCAAAAGCCAAAGTTGACTATTACCAGATCGTAAGGGATGCTGTAAAAGATATAGGATTCGATGACTCAGAAAAGGGTCGGTGATTGAATAAAGTAGTTTAAGATAGATGAGTATGCCTGTGAGAAATTTTTTGGGCAATAATTTTTGATTTAGTTTGGTAAGGTTGATTATATTTCTGTGGACCGTGCCAAAGCCAGAGAGTGGGCTTATTTCTTTTTTTTTATAATTTCCTATGTGTTCAGGTTTCGATTTTAAAACTTGTAATGTTTTGATTGCGTTAGAACAACAAGCCCCAGAAATTGCAGCTGGAGTCCACCAGAATCGATCGGATGAAGAAATCGGTGCTGGCGATCAGGTGTGGTATAAGAATTATGATTTGTGCGCGCAGGTGTAAGAAGGGGTACAAGTCATGGGTACAGCTTCGTTTTCTTTTTTTAATTTTTTTGGTACTGTTGATTATTTAATGATATTTTAAGGGATTAATGTTTGGTTATGCTACTGACGAAACGGAAGAAAAAATGCCATTATCGCTTGTTTTGGCCCATAAATTGATGGCTCATCACCATGCTCTTCGTAAAAGTGGCGTGCTTGATTGGGCTTTACCCGATTCTAAGTCACAGGTCGCTTTGTCAACATTCATATTACCTCTTTCTCAAACTCTCAGTTTTTCCTTCCTCCCGTATATTTCATATCTTAATTATTTCATTCATATTTAATTGTAATTACTTCAAGGTGACAATTGAATACAAATTCGATGGAGGTGCGTGTGTCCCCTTACGCGTTCACACAATTGTTATTTCAGCTCAGCACAAAGCCTCTGTATCACTTGAAAAAGTCCGTAAAGACCTAACTGAACACGTTATCAAGGTTAGCTTACAGCTTATCCAGTGCACTATATACTTTGATTTTTACGTTTTTTGTTAACAATTTGTTAACAATTTCTCTGAACTAATTTTTTAAGAAATTCTTATCTGTCTTTTCAGGCAGTTGTTCCAAGTAATCTTTTGGATGCCAATACAAAGTATTACTTAAACCCTTGCGGTAGTTTCACTCTTGGAGGCCCCCAAAGTGATGCTGGTCTTACCGGTCGTAAAATTATAGTTGATACATATGGTGGATGGGGTGCACATGGTGGTGGTGCATTTTCTGGAAAGGATCCTTCAAAGGCATGAAATTTTTTGCTTTTTTTGACTTAGTGGATATCCTGTTCCATTTTTCTTGGATTTTTTAAAATTATGTTGTAGGTTGATCGTTCTGCCGCCTATGGTGCACGCTGGGTGGCGAAATCCCTTGTTACTGCTGGTATTTGTAGAAGATGTCTTGTTCAGGTTTTTAGTTTTATAGTTTCAAAGATTCATAAAACTGTCAACTGAATTGTCTTATGAAAATTACCTGAATAATCTAACTAATTTCATATCTAGGTATCATATGCCATTGGAATCGCAGATCCGCTTTCAATCACAGTGATTGATTATGGAACAAGTCCACTTACTGAAGATGAGTTATTAACTATTGTCAATGATAACTTTGACTTACGTCCAGGAATAATAATCCGGTTCGTTTTTAATCATTGTGCTGTAATCTGGTCTTACAAACTGAATCTTTTTCTAATGCAAGCCATAATTTGTTAAAATTTCAGCGACTTAAAACTAAAAAGTCCTATTTACATGGAAACTGCACGTAATGGACATTTTGGTAACCCGAAGTTCTCATGGGAACAGCCAAAGCAATTGAAAATTCGTCGTGCTTTCGCAGAGAAGTTGTCTTTAGCTGCCAAACCAAAAGTTCCATTGATTGGAATTTCGTCGTAATTTCTTTTTCTTTGTTTGTAATATTTTCAGGATATTCAGTACTTGATATTGTTAAATTTCTTTCTTATTTTTGGACTATAAGCTTGTGTGTGTCATGTTATTTACTTCATTAAGCCATAAATATAATCCTTTGAGGATGAACGGTTTTTACATTCATATTGTTATCGCACAATAAAATAAATATGGTCATAAAAATTTAAAATAATTTCGGAATTTTGTTTGAGAGTTACGTTATATATACAAAGTATAAAATAGAAAGGAATATTGAAATAACAATTTATCTAGTCATTTTATTTGACCAATAATTCGAGATGGAGAAATGGGTTTTAAAAATATATAAATAAGAATTCGAAGAAATCCTTTTCTTAGCCCGAAGTTATTTCCGTCCCTTAACTGGTGCACAGTCAAGTTTTCCTCTTACAATGTTGGCTCTTACTGCTATCAAATCTCTTCGTCGGCCTCCTTCTACTAAAACCTGCAAAATAATTAATAATTAATCACAAAAAGTTTCAAATCATATTCGGCTGCAATTTAAAAAAAAAAAAGATAAATCAATGAAAGTAAATATACATGGGAATGCTCTTGAAGATTGTGACCAACGCCTGGAATGTAGGCACAGATTTCTTTACCATTACTTAATCGAACAATTGCGCATTTCCTATTCCCAGAGTTGGGTTTTTTTGGATGTCGGATTACAACTAAAAAAGAAAAATATTTAACATCATCATTTAATTATTTATTGTAATCTTTTACATATTTGTAAAATGTGTTTAGTAAATAAAATATTTCATTCAAACAACTCGCATTATTAATGGTTAAGCCGACTACAATAGCTAAGAGAATGCTCCTGGAATTTTCAATAATGCAACAGGCTGTGTGATGAACACCGCTTATCGGTATTCAAAGTGATGTGTAAATCAATTCAGAACATATTATGAAGGAGCTTGAAGAAACTGATGATGTCCTTTTCACTGACAAAAAGCTGCAATGGATACTAGACCAAGTAACTACAGCAGCAACAAAAACTGATCTTCAAATCAATGTAAATAAGACAAAACTCTTTATCTACACAACATATACTCATAAGATTTTGGGCAGTGAAAGCGAAAGATATTAGAAAGCTGTCTGCATTTGACCACTCTTGTCTAAATACACCTTAAATATCCCACCAAGTAGACAAAGTCTCACATAACTGCATCCATCTTCGCACGAATACCATCTGCATTAAGAATATTAAAAATCTCAAAGTATCGTTTATGCTCGTTTGATATGTTCCTTCTTGAAACCACCACAGGAATTCACTCATATGTCACTACTTGTTAAACCCAGTGATGAAAGGCATCAAAAGCGTAAAGGTACCAATCAAAACCTGTATCGACACAGTCAGGGGAAATTTTACACGTATAAGCTCAGCGATATAAGAGCATTAAATACTTTCAGGATTGGCATCGGATAAGGAAGCGTCTTATCCTCATCGCTAGTGGAACGAGCCAAATCAAAAATGGCTAAGAGTATTAAAAAAAAAAAACGAAAATATATCGGTCTCAGTTATATTTTATTTTAATAATTCTATAAAAGTGATTTTAAAAAATCTTTACGTTTTAAAACGATCCCCTTAAAGCAACTTTGTCCTGAAATTGGCTTCTTATCATTGCTTCTCGAACGCCTTTTTGGTGGTCCACCTCGTTCATGTAAAAACTAAATTTATCATTTAAAAAAATTCAAAGAAACAAAAAATTTCTATGTTTATAAAGAATTTTTCAGTTATTATTTTCACGTAAAAATTCTTATATTATATTAAAATATTTCTATCATTCAGTGAAATATTTGAAAAATAAATAAATAAATAAAAGTGATCGAGGCTCGCAAAATCAACCTCAATTTCACTTTTTTATAACAAAAGTTTACTCGCCATCATTACTTCTATTTCTACCGTACTTTGAATGATTCTAAATAATAACTGAAACCAGAGAACTATAAAAAAGAAAAAAACTTTAATGGAATGGAACTTTAATGAAATTAATGATATTTGAGAAAATATTTAATAAAAATTTTTACCTGAAGAAAATTATTACGCCATAATGAGCAATTTATATGAAAATGTTTAAGCGTTTTCGCCATTAAATTTTCACTGAACAATAATTGAGTAAATCTAATCGTTGACTGTTGAAAAAAATAGCATTTTGAAAAGAGCATTGAAATGAACAGCAAAAATTCTGAAAAATTCAATAACGTTTAAATAACGTTAATAGGTGAATAAATAACATTTTTAGCTGAAAAATTAACTACAAATATTAGACAAAATATTTCTAATATTTTAAAAAAAATATAAAAAGTAATATTTTAAATTCAATTAAAAACAATGAGAAAAATGAGTATTCAAAAATAAAAATTTATTAAAAATCACTTTCAAATAAATTTTAAAAAAATAAAAAAATTTATCAAAATTTATCCAAATAAACATCTAAAAATTATGCGATTACTTTATAGATTATAAAATTTGTCATTAAAAAGATAATTTAGAAATTTGCGAAATGCGGAAATTTTATAATAATATGATTACCATCGAAATTTTCATCGAAATCTTTTATTTCTTTACAATAAAATTTAAATCATTGAAAAAATTTCTCGATTATGCAATTGTTGGTAAAAAAAAAAGAAATTAATTAATATTACGCTATTCTTAACGATAAAAATTAGATTAAAATATCAATAGGAAAAAACATATTTTGACAATTTTGTCAATAAAATTCTTTAAATTCAATTGGATATTTATTAAACATATTTCCTATTTACGAATAAATTTTTCCAATTTATTTGAAATGTAAATACGACTCCTAAATTTTAATTTGATTGATTATAATAGAAACCATTAGAAACAATACAATCAAAATTTTATTAAATATTAATAAAACATTTAATATTCTAAAGTATCATTCAGTTAGTTTTTATAAATGATATTTAATAATGCACAAAAAAAATGGAAAATTTTATAAAAAAGATATCGAAACATATTTCTACATATCGGGAATTGAATCAAGTCCAGAAATAACATACTGATTGCCAGTTAAACGATGATCACGCTTACTCATTGCAATCCTGTAATATAAAGCCATTTATATAATAAATTTTTAAAAAAATTTGAACAATAACTGATGACTTTTAAGAATGTCCAAATACAATCACCAAAATTTTCAACACTAGCAAGTTCCATAATGAAAAGTCTTAAAATAAACCAAGTATGTTTAAACGAATAGTGCTCCATGTATCCAATAAACCTTCTTTCGCGGACTTTTAGTATCATAAGAGATTTTTGTCAAAGATTTGCGATAAAAGAACAGGGAAGAGGATCGGTAGCTTTTAGATATCAAATATTACACCTCTTAGGAGTGATAACTGATTTACGGATATCGAAAAAGGAATTTAAAACCATTCATTTTCAATACTAATACTAAACGATCGATTGTCTTCTCTACAAATCAAACTCTAGATTCTAGAAAAGTAAAAAATCTTATTCTAGAAGAAAATTAGAAATATTTTTGAAAGACGAATTTGCGATAACCTTCCAGTTGTTCCATAATCCCTTCTATATTTTCGTCCAACATCCAATAAATTGAATGGACACGATATATAACACGCTCCAGCAACAAACGCAATTGTTATTATACCCGAGTAAATTTGTTCAAACCACATCTTCTGCAAAAAAAAAAATTTTTTTTAAACAAAACCTTTCGAACGTGCTACGCCTAATCTATCGATGAACAAATAATTTAAAAAATTATTAGTAATCGACGATTAAGTTAGAAATTAAAAATTAAAAGTTTATATAGAAAAGTTCACTGAAGGTCAATTATGAGATAAATACTCAAAATTGTCCCTTAAAAATGATGAATTTTTATTCCGATAATTTTGTTAAGTTTTGCTTAATTTTCTGATAATAAATTATTAAAATATCAAACTCTTTTTTCAAAAAATTAATATAAGAATATAAGAATATATAATATAAGAATCATAATCTTGAAAATATCATTATCATTATCATTCATATTATATATCATTTAAATCTATCCATTTCAAGTACATAGCCGATTTAGTGGTATATCCATTATCAAATGATCCCTTCTTAAAAATTATTTGAAATTTCAACGAATCAATGGATCCAATCAAATCATAAATGAGCGAGTTGCAACTTTGAAAATACTTAAAATTCTAGGCAAATAGAAAATGCAGAAATATAAAATTCTGAAATTATAAGCATAGATTTTTGCGTCATTTTTTAAAGATTCAACGGTAATAAATTTTTCGACAAATTTTTTTAATTAATATTTTAATTTTTTATTTTCATATAGCGTAGTAATGAAACGATAATTTTATCTCGAAATTAATAAAAAATTTAGCGCTAAAATCTGATGAAAAACGCAGCACAGAGTAGTGAGAATTTTCACGATTCGCGCGCGCACTTATTTCAATTATGTAAATAATTCGACGAATATTTCATACTATTTAAACTATTTAATTTTGATATTTTTATGAAGAAATATTTTTGAAATTAAATAGAAATAGTAAAAAATAAATGGTAAAAAAGCAAATAAATACACTAATCAAAATTTGGACGAAGAAAAATAGCGACGAAGAAAAGATGAATTCAATGCAAAATGTATTAAAAAATAATTTCAGAGCAATCGTAATCTGAAAAGCGTTTGAAGACGCAAATTTTTCCAAGTTTACAGCATTATATTATTGATATTTTTTGATGTTTGATTCATTAAAAATATTAAATAAAAAATAAAAAAATATTTAAAAAAATAGAAAAATAATTATAAATATTAAAAAAATATTTGATTTAAAAATCTTTGAATTTTCGTTTTTCTACTTTAACTATTTAATGTAAATCAAAAGGAATGCTTAAGTGAATATATCAATAAAACTGAACTGAAATTTGCTAGGAAAAATTTGTGTTGGCCACTATTTGCACTATCAGAATGCGCATCTCTAGTGCAATATGATGAGAGAGTCCTCACCATTACTGGTTAAACTAGCTCCACTAGCTTGTCGCATTGTGCAATATGCTAGGGAGTCCCTTGGCGACAGAAATATAGGCGAATCGTCAGCATCACCTGGATTTTTCTATAGGTTTACTCCTGCGGGGAATCGAACCTCACATCAGTCCCAATCCAGCAACAACCCACTGAGCCATTCTATTCCCATAGTGCAATATAGGACAAATTAATGCGAAAATATCAATAAGATGGATTGAATATTTGTGGTTCTTTGAATAATTAACTTTTAATTATTGCTAAAATATCAATAATGATAAAAGGATGCATGATAATTAAAGTTCTAACTTTAAACATCCAATTTAGGAACGAATACACTTTAAAAGGTTACTTTTGATGTCAACTAGTCTTACGTCTGTTCTGAAAGTACCATTAATATTTTTTTACTTTTATGCATATTTTGATTAATGCAACTAATCAAATCAACAATATCGACAAAGTTTAACTTCATTTTATTTTTCTTTTTTGACTAATTTAATTATGGAAATAATTGCATAAAAGAGAAAAAAAATTGCATATATGAGACAGGAAAATTTTTTTTTTAATATTTAGCTTTATTTAGCTTTCATTCTAAAAAAATGATAAATTGATAGCTTATCAAATAATAAATGATGAAATGATAAAGACCACATTTCAAGTGATAAACTCGCCTTTTAAATAAATGATGAGATGATAAAGTTTATAAATTTACTAGCTGAGAATGCAATTTTAAAGTATAATTATTTAAGGAGAAAAATAAGTCTATTCATGAATGTAAAATATATAGCATATATAAATTTATTTTGGATTTAAATCAGTTTTTTCCTTTCTTAAATATTAAACATTTCCGATATAAAATTCATGCATCAACGTATTAACGAAAATAAATTTCTATCATTCATTGAACATAAAATATTTTTAAGTAAATTTAAAGATTCGAAAAAATCTTAGGTTTTCCATGCATAAAAAAACATTTCTTATTTAATCGAAACAATAATATAAATATTTTTAAAATTTTATTAAAAATTTAAATAATTGTTAGCGCAAAATTTTTAAAAAATCGTTGATATTTTTCGAGTTATATATATAATATGTATGAATTTAAATGCATTTCATCGCTTTCATGAAAAAAAATGAGATTTTCATTAATGAGGCCAATAAGTTAAAAATGGACTATTTGATTTGACTATGAGTTTTATAATAAATAATTGTTAGTAAGTTTGTAGTTTATAGTAATGTAATGAGAATATATTATAACATTGTGATAGCGTAAATCACGAACAAAATTTTGGAATTCATCTGACTGACTTGATCGACCTACTCGTTCTTATTGCTACCCGCTATATTTTTATACAATCTTGTAATGCAACCACCTGATTAATTGTATTTCATCGAATAATCAGTTTAATGTATCAGATGTATCAGTTTAATTTCCAAATTCACGATAGCATATTGATTTTTCTTGAATAAAGTTTATGTCCATTTTTTCATAAAAGATTTTCGATTTCCGAATAAATAAAAGAAGGAAAATGCTATAGTTTTGAGTAAATATTTTAATACTTTTACACTACTTTACTTTTTTATATATTCGATTTTAGTTCCATTGTTGTTAAAATTCTTATATATGATGAAGATTTTGTTCTTTTTTAGATAATGTGATAACAAGTGATAATAGTCTGATGAAAGATCTGTTAATTGAAAAAAGTTAAGTTAAAATTAGCGTTAAGTTTAGAAAACCTGAATTTTAAAAAATTCTTGGCTAAAAGAACATGTATAAGAACAAGAATAATGTTACAGTACTATTAATAATTAACAAGAGAGATACGGTAAAGAGACATCTGCTGACCACAATGTAATAAATTTAGAATTTTTTAAAAATTTTTTTTAAATTTAATGATAATATAGAGTAATAATAAAAAAAATAATATAAGCAAAATAATAAAAATATAAAATAAAATATAACAATAAAAATAAAAAAAATTTCAAAAAAGATTTTTTTTCAAAGAATACATAAGCAATTAATTTAACGATTTCATATGTTTTCTAATAATTGTTTCTTTTTTATTTATTAATTTTTATTTATTTTTTTTCTTTTTCATGAAATTTTGTTAATTATTTATAAGGTGTTGAGTGAAATGACAAAGAATTTATCGATCAGCATGCATCATTATGCTGCCTCAGGGAATGAATCGATTGTTAGCCTATATCTGCTCGTTGCCATCTAAATTTGGAATAAATTTGATTTTCTTCGTCCATTTTCAAAATTATTTTTACTTAAATTAATGGGATTTTCTTGGATAATTCTGATGATATGCATAAATTTATTAGTAGTTTAACGGCAGGTGGAAATTAAGATTGTCACGAATTTTCCTTTCGTCTTTCGCCATTTTCATTGTTATTCTCGTAATTGTCGCAGAAAAATAGCGAAAGAAAGTACAAATATTAATAAATAAGCTAGTATAGATATTTTTTCTTTATAAACTTAAAAATTTTCATGCGCCATCCCAAAAATCTTTTAATTTTAAAGCTTTGATTAATTATTTTCATGAAGTGATAATTTTTCAAGTGATAACTTAGCTTGATCAATTGCTTTTAAATGATTTGGTCTGGTCTTGCCAGAGTTTCTTTTTTTTGAAGAGCATTCACCATTCCTGGTTTGACTCGGTTCGCTGGCTTGTCGCACTAGAGAAATATTCCAGGGAGTCCTTTAGCGATAGAAGTACAGGTGATGAATCGCCAGCATCCGCCGGATTTTCGCCCAGGAAATAGAATCTCACCATCGAATTGAGCAACAAACTCACTGAGACATTCTATGTCCCACTCTTGTTAAGAGCAAATGCATACTGTATACTGCTGGCGTTCCGATTATAATTGTCTATTCTTAAGTTTTTTCATTTTTCATGAATAATTAATTTAAATCAATCTCGAGAATTACTCGATTTTATTTCAAGAATTTTTTTATATAAAAACTAATTTCAATTTATTTTTTCTTTCCAAAATTCTTTGCCATTTCTAGTTAGGTTCACTCTAGTTGTTGGATAGAATTTTGCAGGGAAATGATTTCACGTTAGACGCACGGACGTACAGATAAGTAGCTCGCCCCGCATAACACGTACTTTTGAAAGATAGATTTTTTCCTAGCGTGCATAAATCCTCTCTCCCCTCCTCCGTATCGATATTTTGAAATACGAGCAACAAATTTACTGAACCATTCAAATTTTTTTTTATTGAAATGCAAAAAAAAAAATGAAAAATACATATATTTAATAATAATTGGTGGACCGTTTGCGATCTTAATTCTCATTTTGCCAAAATTTTATTCAAATTACAAATGCTTTTAGTTTGATTAATTTTAGTTGGTGGCCATTTCGATCCGATATGACCATTTTTGGGCGAGGATCAACGGCGAAGAAAAAAAATGTTGAAGTTTCAGGTATGCTATTTGTACTGATTAATTTAATGAAACAATATTAATACTTAGATTAAATATTTTATTATAAATATTTGGTAATAATTATAAATAAATTTCAGATGTAAGTAAACCAACTGCTTTAGTAGATGCTGTTACGGCACCACCACGCGGTTTTGGAATTCGCTCATACCTTCATCAGTTTTATCAATCGCCAACCGTTGAAGATATCGAAAATGCTGGTGCTTGGTAAGATTTAGTATCTTTTTAATGCCTAAAATTGCCTGAATTGTTATCTGTTATTTGTATTTGTAATTTGTCTGCCTTTTAGCTTCGCCTGCTTTATGTAATTCGCCGATAAAAATTACGTTATCACTAATCAGCACTAAAATATTAATATTAATCATTCACATATTTTTTTTCTGAAATTTTTTTTCATAATGAATTTCTATTATGCAATTCGTCGACAATTATTATTATTTTCTATCTTTAATAAACTATATTATATCATATTTTTAAGCTCAATCTTCATGAATATCATTCTATCATTATAGCCTAAATTTATGCCAAAAAATTTTTTTTTTACCATTAGCTTAATATGAGATATGTCGAAATGCAGTGGTGTTTATTTTCCATTATTTCATTGCTTCGTATTGATATTCTAGGTATCTTTTACCACCACCTCCGGCACAACGCACTGGGCTTTACATCTGCCGTATACTTACCGTTTTCGGTCTACTATTATTAATCGGTGGAGCAGCTGCTATTGTAGTTGGCTATACTTGGCCGCATGAAGCAATTGAAGATTCTATCGTTAAAATAGCTATTTATCAGGTTCCATTGTCTGAACATATATAATTGCTTTTACGCATCATTTATTGCATCTTGCATATACTTTATTTTTTTTTTTAAAAAATCTACAAACCACATCAAAAATCTTTTATTTTATTCATTGCTAAGCGAGACTTAACTAATTCTTTTTAGCTTATGCGATTATTTCCTTAAAATTTCCTCTAATTATGCTTTGCATTTTGCTATATTTTGCTATATTTATTTTAAATTTGTTAAGTTTTGCATTTTTGTTATCTTTTATCAGATTTTTTACTATTTTGATGTCCTAAATTTTATATCTAACGCTTTTTATTTACTAAAACGATCATATAAAAATCGTCGTTCAAAAAAACTTGAAAACTTGAATTATTTAATTTGGCTGGCATTTATTAAACAATAATAATTACCATAGTAATCAAAATAATTTGAGGATGAAGATGGAAACTTTTATGTTCCACCTGAGAAACTGGCTGAGATTCTAAAGGATCCCATGCGACGCTGGAAAATGATCGGTATGTAAAATATCATCAACGGTTATTTTGTAGCGTTAGCCTATCATTAATAATAATTAATAATAATAATAGTAATAATAATGATAATGCTATTGTTTATGAAGAGATTAGCTCATGTCGATCATAAAATGAGCCTATTTATTGTCAATCTTCTTGATATTTTTTATATTTCCATGAAGTATGGAAAAGCAAAAATATTATATTTAAAAAAATTTTTTTTAAGGTCTATGTGTGTTTGCTGGTGGAGCGGTTATACTTGCATTAAGTTTACTAGTTCCAACATGCGCGCAGTGCTTTAATAGTAAACGACTGGCGGCTTTTGTTAGCGAAGATGGTACACCAAATGAACCTCCAATTCGAATCTATCCCGCCGGTTCAACTAAAGCTGAAACAAATCACGGCGAAAAACATGGAACGAAAATCAGTCCTACTAGGTTAGTAAGGCTTTTCTATATCTTAATATCTAGTTGAATTCTTCGCTTACAAATTTTTTTATGCCTAATTATTCGAATATTAAAAGTACATCTTTTTTATAGTGGACCTGTACCAGTTATGGAAGAAATAGCAAAAGTACAACCAAATATGATGAAAAATTTGGAAAAATCAATTGCTAGCGCCGACGATTTGCTTCTTGCTGATACTGATGCACGTTGATTAAAAAGTTGATTATTCTAAATTTCAAAGAGACTAATCCTTCTGCGACAAATTCTTTTCATAAATTCTTTAAAAAAATCTTTTATCACATATCAATGAATTTTGATATATTGCGAAGTAAAAAATTCATAATCAAATTTTTTTTTTCTTTAAATAACCATAACTATTCAACTAATAAATTTCAACTTTTGAATTTTCCAAGTATATCGATTAAAAATATTTTCAATCTCTATTTTGTGTACATTTAAAAAAAAAAACTTATTTTATGATTATCATTATTTAAAGAAATTATTTTTTTTTTGAAGAGCACTCACCACTACTGATTTGACTAGCTCTATTGGCTTGTCGCACTAGGCAAATATGCGAAAGGGAGAGAAAGTCGCTTGACGATAGAAATACAGGCGAGTCGCAAGTATAACCCAAAATTAATAAATAAATTATACTATCTTTCAAGCCTTTTAAATTGAATTTTGCCAGGAAAATATTTGCATTATATTTCTTCGTCTTCTTCGATTTGTACATTTCTGGTTTAGCAAACTTCATCATCGACTGCCCTGTTTATTTTATATATATATATGGTCGAAATACGTTAGAATTGATTGTGATTTGCTAAAGATTTTACTTAATTTTTTTTTTTTTTAAAGAGTCTTCACTATTACTGGTGTTCCTCTGGCTTATCGAACTTGATAAATCCCTTGATGCCAGGGAATTCCTTGGTGATAGAAGTACAAGCGAGTCGCATCACTCGGATTTTCGGACAGATTTATTCCTACGCGAAGTAGAATCTCAGCATTATTACTCCATATTAAGCTATTCTACCATCTTTTATTATTTATTTTTAGTTAGACAAACTTTATGTCAAACAAGTTTTGAATATGTAAAAAAAAATTATAAAAAAAAAATTATTTTGACGAATTGAAAAAATTTTTTTGAATATTTGAAGAGAGAAAATTAGAGAATAATTTACAAAAATTGATAGAGAATCGAAATGATTTTAAATGAATGAAGAAAACTTTTTCAATATTAGCATAAAATTATTATCAATTATAAAATTATTAAAATTATTAAAATTATCTCAATTCGTTTAATTTTTCTAAATTTTTTTTTTTACAAATAAATAAATATTTATTAAATTCGATGATAAAATTGATGATTAAATGAGAAAATAAAACAAATGAGTTCATATAAGTATAGTTCAATGATATAATTTTATCGTTGTAAAATCAGAAAAGAGATGGAAATTTGCAAAAAAAAAAAAATTAAAACTAATTTAAAAATAAAAAATAAAAAAATAATTGAGCCACCTTACTATTAAGCAAAAGTTAAATTGGACAACTAAACGAGTTGTTTGCATAAAAACGATAAGAATAAAATATATATTAAAATATATAAACTTGAATTGCATGAAAACTACTGAATGTAATGAATATAAAATTTTATTACTCGTTAATGTTCAAATAGTTATATGTGTTTATCTATAATTTATTAATTTATAAATATTATGCATTTATAAATTTTTTTAATAAAAATTTATGAAATTTATAAGAAATAACCAATAAAATCATTTAAAAAATTATTTATTAATGAAAAACAAATAGTATAAAACAATTTTTTATTTGCTTTTTTTTAAATTAATTAGCATATTTTTTCAATTTTTGAGTTGAAAATTTGCAAATTATTGATAATGAACACGAGAATTTGCATTAATTAGTCGTTAGCGACGTTGATTGAACGGCATTTGACTGATCTGACTGAATCGTTAGCTGAATAATTACAAATGGTTATCATAAAGGTTTTTTTTCCTAAAAGCATTCGCTATTTCTGTTGGCTTATTATATCAGATAAATTTTGCAAGACGGTCATTAATAGAAGTAAAAATGAGCCGCCATCACTTCATAGATTTTTGCAGAATAGAATTGTTTTTCATTTTCGCCAGAAATAGGAATAAATGCAATAGCCAGCATCATCGAATTTTTCAACAAGTTTTTTCCAATGGGGAATAGAAGCTCGGCATAGGCGCTCCAATGTGAACAATAACCACTAAACTCGCTCCACCGGCTTATCGCATTGGGCAATAAGCCAGAGAGTCCCTTGGGGTAGAAATACAGGTGAGTCGCCAGCATCACTCGGATTTTTGGGGTAGAAATACAGGTTTACTCCTGCGGATAATCGAACCTTAGCATCGGCTCTCCCAATTGAGCAACGACTTACTGAGCCATTCTATCCCACTTGTTAAAAATTAGTCAACTAATTAAATTAGTAATTAATAATAATAATAATAATTAATAAGTATTAACGAACTTGTTCATCCTTTTCAGAGACAATACTTAATTTTTTCGATTCGCTTATCTTTTTTGTATTATTTAATTGTAAATAGGTCGGTGAGGTGTATGTTGAAAGTACTTTTATTTCATGATCTTGATTTGCAAATTCTTTGCTATTTCTCGACGATGATGAATATTCTGATGGTCTGAAAATAAATTAAATATGTCGACTAGTTTCAAAAAAAAATTTAAAATGCTCAAAATTTTTTTTCAATTTATAAAGAAAAATAAGCGTCTTTCAACAAATTTAATTTTATTTTTTCATTAATAAAAATTATCTAATCTATTAACGAATTTCTTATCACAAATAACCTTTTACCACTGATAAAATCAACAATTGCATCAGGACAAGTTGCCATTGATGCTAACCAAGCGAAAAACATTGCACAGCATATTATAACGATCACTAATATTGCCAATAATTCATTCATTTTAGTGAAACATTTAACCAGTTTTTATTTCTCTAAATTAAACCAATAATTATACTTGTAATCTAAATATTACCTAATCATAGCTCTTTTTCGCTCAAAGACTCGTACTGAATACAATATAATGAGAGCACAAAAAAAATTTTTTTTTTGTGCATTCTGGAATATTTTTTCTTTTTTTTGAAAAAAACGAAATTTATTAAATTATTAAATAAAATTAATAAATGAAATAGAAAAATTAGAACTGTTTTTTTATTCATTCAAAGATTCGAAATTAGCAAAAAATGCTCCAAGAAATATTATTATAAATAAATATTAAATATTATATTAAATATTATTAAATATTAAATATCTTATTAAATATTACATTATTAAATATTGTTAAATATTATTATTACTATTAAATATTATTATTACTATTAAATATTATTATTAAATATTATTATATTATTACTATTATTATTATTATTTTGAAATATTATTATCTTATTTCTAAAATGATCTAGCTATTTAATCTAAACGATCGAAAATGATATACGACAGCAAATTTATTTTAAAGAATAAACTGACATTTCATTTGAAAAATTATCAAATGGAGCGTAAAGTTTGACGTAAATTAATAAATTAAACAGGACATAAGTGATGATGAGCTAAACCAAGTAGAATATAAGTCGTGATCTTGTCGTTTAATAAATTATGTCGAGCACAAATTATGAGCTTGATGATAATAAATAAGCAAAAAGCAAAAAATAAGGAATGATAACGATGATTAAAATGATGAGAAAAAATATCAATCAAAACTAAAAACTATAGTTTTTGAATTGAAGAATAGTGAAAATACTGGAAATACATTAATGGAAAAATAGAGAAGTTGAAAATTATTTTTGAAAAAAACTAAGAAATATTAATTTCATTGATTATAATCAATAATTTCGATCAAAAATCGATCAATTTTTTAAAAATGAATTTGATAAATAATTGATAAAAACAAATCATTGTTTAAATAAAAATAATTAAAATTAAACAATAAATTTTTAATATAGTGATATAGTAAGCATTTTCCACTTATCAATCTTCTCTGTTTCGCCTAATAGCTCGAACAACTTAAGATTCATTTCATCCAAAGATACCAAATTAATAATGCTTAAAGCCATGGCCTAGCTTGGCTCATTCATACTATTCATACTTTCGTCTGATAATTGAAATAATAGGCCATCGTTAAACATCACTGAGTAGACCAAGCAGAGCGACCATGTGCTTGCATTAATAACAACAAAATAAAGTAGCAAATGATAAGGTATCAGTGATTGCTATACAAGAAGTGATAAAACCAGGAAGCTAACAATGTAAAGAGAAATATTTGCCGAATTTAGAATATCTCATACGTTTAATTCTCGTATTTTGACGAGCATAAATATACTATTTTAAGGAAAAAAGTAGTAAATTAGATTCGAAAAATTTGATAACGAATTTGATAAATTTAATCTATTCACTATTAAAACAACAAACATTTAAACTTTTCTTTTTTTCAAAAGAAAAAACATTTTTTCGAAAGAAATCGAAATCCTTCTTATCGTTTTTTTTTTCATGAATTTTTTTTTTGCTAAATTCCAATTTCATTTTGTGCTAAAAATTTTTTCGAGAAAAAATATTTATGTAATTAATTACAATTTTTTTTACGAATTTACTTATATTTTTCTGATTATTTTAATGCATTAAAATGCGCCAAAATTTTATCATTATCATTCATTAACGAAAATCTTATTAAATCTTATATTATCATTTATTAACGAAAAAGCTAATTTTATTTTTATTTGTTAAGTGTACTTTTATTTTATTTGTTAAGTGTTTTTACCATTTTTTTAGCAAAAAAAAATTTGAAATACAAAAATTACAAAAATAATTTATTCTAAAAAGTTAGCCAATGCATGATATTTCTTTTTCATAAATTCAACCAATAATAATAACAATAATAAATCGAAGCCGATTTTATTTATTATTAAATTATTAATTATTAAATTATTAAATTATTAATTATTAAATTATTATTATTTATTGTATTAATAATAATAATTTAATAATAAATAAAATTTATTAATAAATAAACAATAATAATGACAATAATAATAATAACAATAAATTAAGACATTTTAAAATCAGACTTTAAATTATTTTTCAAATACATTAAATACATTTTGATATTTTTCGCGACTAAAGAAAAATTTCAACCACCAATGAACTTTTATAATCACTTTTCATTAGGTTAAAAAAAAAAAAACATCTAAAACGATAATAAAACGTAAAAACATAGCTAAATTAATAAAGCGACTTTTTTTATCAGTAAAAATTCGAGCGCGTAAAAAAAATCTCTTAAATTCTAATTTACGCTAAAAATTTGAAAAATTTAGAATTTTACTTATTTATTCAATCAGTAGTCAATTCAATAATTTTTCTTGCAAACGACGACGATTCGTTTGAATTTAACCAAACACATTGACAAACTGAATCATTGCATACGCGAAAATCCGAAAAAATTTCAATAAATAAATAAGGAAAAATTTTTAGAGAAAAATTTTTTGTGTTAATACGAGAAAATCTAAGGATGAAAATATTATTTATTTAATAATCATTATTAACAATGAATTTCTCGAAATAACGATGAAACAAATTCTCTTAATTCTAATAAAAAAGATTTGGTAATTTTTTACAAGAAATGTACAATTTAGTTGATAATGATATTAACATTGATTATCACAAATGATTATTATTTAACAATGCACCAAAATTTCATGGAAGAAAGGCGAAGACTTCCAATATTTTATAATTATTTTAATTATTGCAAATCTAGAAAAATCTAGATTTTTAAAAAAATCTCAAAAAAAAAATATGATGGATTAATATTGTCTTGAAATTAACCAATAACTATACGATCCGTAATGCAATTTTGTCCAATAAATTTAAATTACATGGATATAAAATTTTATAAAAAAAAAAAGATGAAATGTGGAATCAATGAACGCAGTGGTACTTCCTAAGCGGTAATTTGCCTAATAACAAAATAAAATCTTTTTGAAGCAAGAAAATACAACGAGAAATTTTTCATAATTCGTTGTCGCACTAAAAATTAAAATGGAATGATTAATGTATCTTCGGTGAAACTAGTGGAACTAATGAAAGGAAAAAAAATCGTTGATTTAAGATAGAAACATTGAAAAAAAAAGAACCGTACAGTACGATATCTGAATAAATATGTATTAAATTAAATAATTACACGTTGTAAAAAATAAATATTTAAAAAAAAACCAAAATTACATTGTGCGTGTAAACAACAACTGATAAGTTGATAAAATTAGTATAACTAATAATAAATATTAGCAATATGCATTTCTAATGATAAAAAAATAATGATTTTAACAATCAAAACTGAATATTTAATATGCAAATAATAATTTTTAGAAGAGATCAAGAAAATTTATAAAAATTTGTATCAAAAAAAAAATATTTCGATAATTAAAAAAAAAAACAAAACAAATGAAAAAAATTAATTTGAAAGCTTTAAAATTAACAAAATTAATATTCACTGCACACGACACGATTCATCATCCTCTAATTCATTTGCTACTTTTTTTTCATAATATTCTACGAATTTCTCACGTAAATCGTTAAGATCTTTTTCTACACGACTTAAATCATCCGTAATTCGTCCTATAAAACGTTCAGCACTAATCAAAGAGATTGGATTAGCATCTACATTTAATAAATCGCATTCGCATTCTGACATCGAATCACCTAAAAGATAAGCAATAAAATGAAAAAAAAAATCAACTGAAACCTGAATTTTATCACTTACTTATCATCTAATAAAATGATTTTTCTGGTATTATTAAAGCATGCGATCTTATCAAAGTGGAATTAACGTACCATATAAATATATATTATTCATTAAATAACATATTCTAATACTAATGCTAATGGCCTATAATTGACTTTCTCTAAACTGTTCGAAAAATATATTTGAAATTAAAATATTATTACCTTTGCATCCTAGTAAACGATTTAAACTCGGTAAATCACCACTGATTGCTTTAGAAGTCATATCTTTTAGGCATTTTGCGAGAAGGCGACACTCCATTGTAGTATTTAATTGTTTACGAATAAGAAGAGACAAATTTGACGGTAAATCTTGGACTATTTCGGATGATAATTTATAATTCGAAGATGATTCCGATATACCCGCTGATGTACTTATTGGCTCACAATGCTGAAAACAAAAAAACATTAAATATTAGATTTCTAAATAATTTAAAAAAAAAAAAATTCATTTGAAAATTGTTACTGGAAAAATGAAATCTTTGGAAATATTCTTCGCTCCTAAGAATTTTGGAACTTTAACATCAGAAAGATTTATATCTTGCGGAGTTGCCGAACTACTTTCAAATATGCATGACGCTTCCATTTTCATTGCCTGTAAAACATATTAATTTGATAATAATAATGAATAAAATGCGGTTTTATTTTAGCTTAATGTTTTGATTATTCTTCATTTATGGTAATTAAATTAAGCAAATTTAGCACAAAAAAAAAGATGGAGATAAGAAATAGCAAGAAACATCGATAGATACTAACAAAAATTGAATCCTCCAAATTTTGAATTAGGGAATTTTTTGAATCCACTTGAGCACTTAGCATTTCATTTTGTAATTCACATAGTTCTAAATCCTTTTTTGTTTTTTCCAACTGTTTTGCAGTAACCAAAGATTTTTCCAGTTCAGCGCGAAGAGCATTAAGCTCCTTTTCCTATAAAATTATTTTTAAAACTAAGCAAGAATAATAGTTAATCAAATCGTTGGTATCTTAATAAACAATAAGCATTTGTTGTTTTGAAATAACATGAATTTTGTTCATTAATAAAATCAACTTTTCATATGGCTGCAAAATATAATAATAAAAGAAATCAGAGTCTCTTGAATCTCTTCTATAGGATCTCTTTTACAAATCCACAATACCTGCATTGCTATTTTCTCGATAGAAGATGAAATAGCTGAATTTCGAGCCGCATCTGTTTCGATTGTTTTTTCTCTATAGATACGATATTCATTTTCCAATTCATCTAATCGTAATTTAACTTTTGCCAAATGTAATCGTGCTTCTTGAGATTCGGCTCTGAATCCACTCACCTAGACGAATTTACATTTATTCATTTATTTATATAATTTTAAAAATTTCAAATCAAGTAAAGATTATAGAAATAAAATGCTGCTGCCTTCAGTCCTAAAAAATAAAATTACCTCATCGTCGTATTGAGCACGACGCAGTTCCATTTTTGAATAAAGTTTTTTGAGTTGAGATCGTAATCTGAAAACGATAGATTCAACCATTAATCTAATAAAAATTCAATTATTGTAAACAAATCTCCCGTATACCAATGATCACATCGGCAGAAAATTAATGACCTTTCTGTTTCTTGCTCTTTTTCCTTGAGTTCTTGCATTACGTAATGTTGAACTGATGTCGGAGATATTTCTGAAATCACGCATTGGCCACTTGGAGAACGGATTACACGTGAATCTACAATTTATGAAAAATCAAATGAACTGAAATTCGCCAACAATAAAAATATTTTAAAAAAGAAGAATAAAAATAATAACTTTTAGATCCGACAACTGGTACAACGAATGAAGTAGATGTAGAAACCGACGGTGAATGTCCACTAATAATAGCTGCTTCAAGTTCACGAACTCGTTGCTCGAGAACCGCAACGCGTACATCGTTGATTTTCACTTGATCTCGGTTATTGCGACTATCAACTTTATAAAAAGAGGAGAGTCAATAAAAATTTTAAAAACAATAAAATTTTTTATCATTAAAGATCGAAAAAAATAGATAATAACTGCCATGAATCGAGAAAATTTTTTAGAAAATTATGTCATTAATAATTTATTTTTATTTTCATTCAACATAAATATAATGCAAAAATAAAATTAAATAGATTTACCAAAATTAAGAGAGTTTTCCTGAAAACACCAATTTTCCCCACTATGAGAACTATTTACATTTGTAGATGATAGTATTGCACCTCCACTATGCCGTCGTTGCACACAGTTACGATTGCTTAAACAATTACGTATTATTTTATGCTAAGCAATAAGAATAATTGGTAAATTAATGATCAATAAGATTTTTTTGCTAATAGAATGGAAAGACTTTGAACGTATAGGTAGGTGGATTAGCGATATATAATAGACTTGGACGATGGAAAAAGGAATGGCTTCTACTACGATCGGCAATGATCAACCTGGAAACGTCTCTTACGATTTTAGCCAATTCAGTTAGCCTAACAAATAATGGAGAAGGCTATCAAAAGAAGAATAATATTTTAAAAAGATCAAATTTGAAAAAATTATTTAAAAGAAAAAAATCAGAATGAATAAGCAAATAAAGGAATGTGAAAATGATTTTAGAAATTTAACTAATGCATGAAAAATTCAACAGCAATAAACAAACAAACCTTTCTTTCATGCATTTGCTAACAACTTGATCTTCATTTTGTGAATATTTCGGTTGTGGTGCGACCATTATCTACAAAAAAAATTTAAAAAAAAAACAATAATAATAATAAATTAATAAAAATAATTAAATTATTTTTAAATCAAATCTTACAAATAACAGATGGTAATTCATTATTCGAAAGCAATAATTCTTCCTAATACGCTTTTTATTTACTAATTCTCTGCATAATTTATTATTCGTTACGACGGAAATCAATTTAAATATCTACTATTCTCGATTCATCGGATTTAATTCTCGTCTTCTCTCCATCATTTGCATTAATTTCACATTACTATTACTTTTATTTATTACTATTATCATTCACATTTATTTACTTATATCTACTTATATCACATCCAAATAGTTTTCTTATTTATCATAAATATTGAATTATAGAATGATAATTTAAATGAATCATATAACTGATAATAACTGATAATTCACTAATTCATTAATTTTTAATTTATATAAAAAATTTTAATTTTTAATTTATCTAATTTTTAATTTATATTAATTTTTAATTTATATTAATAAATTAATAAAAATAATAAAAAAAAATTTTTTAACTGATGCAACTTCATTATATTTTAGTTAAAAATAAAAAAAAAAAGATAAAAAATTTATTTTAAATAAATCTTTTTTTTAAAAAAAAAACTTTTTTAGAGGAATTATTCGAAAAATTAATCGATGTCTTCTCAATTGGATTTATACTCGACAAATTCGCATTCACACCACTATTATTTGTTCGACACGTCCTAAAATTAATTTTAATAAGCTTTAGTAAGTATTTTAATTTTAGTAAGTAATTTTAGTAAATTAATTAATTTTTAATTTTAATATAATTTTCATATAATTTTATTAAAACTGTAATATAATCTGTAGCCAAGAAACCAAGAAATATTAATTATAATATAAATATTTTATAAAAAAAAAATATTAAATCGAAAAAAATATTTAAAAAAATATAAAATTAAAATTATAAAAGAAAAATGCTCTCTTCAAAAATTATTTACTAAATTATTAAGAAAAATCTTAAAAAAATTTTTTTAAATTCAATAAGATTTCAAAAGATATTTCAATATGAATTTCGCTATTAATTTCATTTTAATTGGTTATAAAAAGTTTTTATGTTATATTTCAAAATAAACCCAAAAAAAAAATTTGCATAAAATAATTTTAAAGATCGTCGAAAAATCGCCTAAAAAAAAAATGGATTAAATTTCACAAATATTCAATAATAACGCAAAAAATAAATTAACATTTCGATAATTCTTTTTGAATTAAAAAAAAAATTTTTTTTTATAATAAAAATTATAATAACAACAATGATAAAATTAATAAAAACATAAAAATTTTGAAAAAATTTTAAAAAATTAATTTTAAAATTTTTTAATTTGAAAAAAAAAAGAAAAAGAAGAATATTTTTCTCGTTGAATGAATTTACATAAAATTTTTTTGCGTAAATTTATTTTGCAAAAAAGAAAAAAAGATATTTTAAATTTTTTTGTATAAAAATAAATATTTTTATATTTAAAATAATAATAAGTAATTCGACATACGTTGTACGATTTATTGCAGAATCATTTTGAATTTGCGTTGAACGAATCTCAGTCGAACGTTTCATGCTTAATTCGTCATGAATAGATGTTGACGGTGATGAAATTAAACGTGGTCGTGTAACACGTGAAAACATTGAATCGTCACAAGATGAGAAATGAACAACGGGATATTGCGAATTTTTCGTTTCAGTTGTTTCGTATGCACCTAGAAATTTTTTAGAATTACTTAAAATAAATTTATTTTTAATAAATTTTTTTCACTTAAAAAAAATAACTCAATTTAAAAATTAAAAATTTTGAATTCCAAAAAAAAAAGAAAACTTATTTATTTAAAGATTGCAAGAAAATTGAAAAATAAAATTTAAAAATAGAAAAATAAACGATATTTTTAATTTCAATTATCGAATATTAAAAGCAATGAATTTCTAATTAATTAATTTTATCAGTGATAAATTTATTTTATTAGTGAAATTAAAATCTTCTCAATTGTCAATGAAATTTATATAATCAAAGTGAATGACTGATAATAAATAATTGATAAAAAATCTAATCAGAAATGATGCAAGCAATCAGGCAAGCAAGCAACACATACACACACACTTAACACACTCATCTATCGAGACAGAGGCATACTAAATATGCGGCGATGAGAAAGATGATCGTCGTCCTTCTTGTTATTCCTTTTCTAATCGACCCTAATTTTGCATCGGCGACATTCTTTGCTTACTTGTTTAAGCCAATTTGACTTATATCAATCAATCTATCTCTCTAATATAATTGATAAAATTTTTGAAAACTAATCAATATAAAAAAAATTTTTTTAAATTTTAAATTAAAATTAAAATAAAAAAAAATGAGAAATTTTAAAAAATAAAAATTTTGAAAAAATTTTTTGAGAAAAAAAAAATAAATAATTTAAAATAATTTTATTAGTGAAATTGAAAATCTTCTAATTTTCAATAAAATTTATATAATTATAATTTTTATAATTTTTTTTAAAATTATATTATTTAAATTATATTATATAAATTTTTTAGTGAAATAATTAGTGAAAAAGGATATGGAATGGCTTAACGGATTGTTATTTTCATTTCGTAGCGCCAAAGCTGAGAATTTCTGATAGGAATAAAACCTGTTTTTCAAAAAATTCAAATGGTACTTCTTCTATTATTAACTAATTCCCTGGCGAAATTTATCTAAATTCAATAAGCCAATAAAATAATTTTAAATAATTTTCCATAAATAATTTAAAAAGCGAAAAAAAACAATAATCTTTTGCATTAAATGATGAGAATTAAATTTCCATTTCTTTCAAAAAAATTTTTCTTTTTTAGATTTTATTTTCAAAAAGAAAAGTTATTGAGGAAGGAGTTATTGAGCATAAAAATTTGAATTTGTCCTCAACCGCTTAAGAAAATTACCAATTTTATATTTGTCGCTGAAATGGCAAATCGCAAGAAAAAAAAAAATAATCGAAAAATATATAAAATTTCAATTTCCAATTTTCAATTAAAATAATAATGAGCGATGTTGTCTCGCCGAATTGTCGGTTTTTTCGATTTTTAACTAAAATAGTGTTAAGTGGTGTTATCTTGCGAAGTGGTCGGTTGAGGACAAATTGTATGCTCAATGTTGTGTCTCTTGACGAGAGTAAAGCCGTCATTAAAAGCGAAATTCGAATGGCTGCTGAGGATGCGCTTCAAATCTCTTTCATCAACTTACTCTCTCACATGACTGTGTGTCCACCTTCGCTCAAATATCGTTTGCATTAACAAAAAAAATATCGTCAGAATCGCATACGCTGATAAATCAATCTCATCCATCGCATAAATAGATACGCTACTTGTTAAGACTTAAGACTTATGACAAATGGCGAGGAAACTAAATCAAATCCTGAACTGAGAATTTGAAAATATAGATTATTGCCCAGCAATATATGAGCTTAGATAATGGAAAAAAGAGCGAAAAGAACTGCTTTTAATACCAAGCAGTGTACCGAGCGGCTTCGAAGCATCTTCCTCTTCACTTAGCCAGTAATACTTTTTTTTAAAGAGTCCTCACCATTACGGTCTCTCTCCGCTCCGCTGGCTTGTCGCATTGGAGTAATATGCCAGAGAGTCCCTTGACGATAGAAATACAAGTGACTCGCCAGCACCACTCGGATTTTTGGTCAGATTTACTTCTGCTGGGAAAAGAACCTTAGTATCGACGCCCCGAAATGAGCAACAACCCATTAAGCCATTCTATCTACAATGATACGATCTATTATAAAAAGAAAAAAACGAATCAATAAGTCGCAATAATTTGAACGCTGAAAATAAAAATATATGATAAATGATAATCGGAATACTTTTATATTTTACTTAAGCAATATATTACTGTTAAGATTTTCAAGTAATGAACAAACCGTGAAAGCGCGTTGCATTATGTTTAGGAGTTGAGTATATCGCTGCATCAGTTGTTGTACACCTTCGAATCGGTGACAATTTATTCGTCGGTAATACTTTTCTCCTAATAAAACCAGTACCACTAGATTGATTATTTGCTGTAAATAAATGATTTTTCTTATCATTATTATCTTATCAAGTGTATTTTTTTGTTTGTTTGTATTCTAAAAAGAAAAATAAGGAGAAAAAGAGTCAAACCATCAAATAAATATTAAAATATTGAATATAAACAAATATTAAAATTTAAAAGATAAAACAAAATAAAAATTTAAAAAGAAACAATACAATTCCAATTAATTAATTTAATGAAATTCTAATATTTTTAATGAAATTTTTTTTTTTCACTTATAATTCAAAAATATAAAAATTAAAATTAAAATTTTATATGATCCATTTTATCGAAAGGTGATTTCTTTTTATTTTTTATTTATTTTAATTTTAATTTTTTTTTATTTCTTGGCAAAATTTGTTGTATTTCAACAAGCCAGCGTAATATTTTTATCGAAAAAAAAAGATTAGCGCTTTTAGAAAAAAAACTGATAAAATTAATAAAAATTATGGCGATAAAAGATACGATGAATGGAATTCTCGACGAGTTCAGCAAATGATGAATTTTGACTAATTGATGAATTGTTGAATTTAGGCGAACCTACAACTACGCTATTGATACGTTCTAAAAATAAATTAGTTCATGCACAATAAATTAGTTTATTTATAAAAAAAAAAATTTATTTTATGCTAATTTTCAATTCAATTTTTAATTGTCCTTCATTTTCGCTGTAAAAAAAAAAGCATTTTTTCCTTATTGATTATCGCTAAAAATTACAATAATTTGATAGGATATCCGAATTGATAATGGCTTAGGTTATCATTTATCATTCCTATTTTTTGTAGGCGAACTAATAGCCAGCAAAGCGAGCCTAACCAGAAATACTGATCGCCAGTCACTTTCTAAAACCTAATCAATCCTTTTTCCAAAAAAACTTTCTGATAATCTCTACGATTTTTACTGATGACAAATTGCTAAAATTATAATCACAATCGCTTTATAAGCAAAATTACTAATTGGTTAGGTTCGTTCAACTGGCTTATCCGACCAGACAAGATTTTATCTAAGAGTCATTTCACAATAGAAGCAAAGATGAGATACGTCACGTGGATTTTTGAAAGGCAGATTTATTACTTCCAAGAATAGAAACTTTAACAATGAAAGTAATGAAAAAAACAAAAAAAATAAAAAAAATAAATTTAATTTTAAAAAATTGCATTAAAAATTTTAGTAATAAAAAAAAATAATAATTAAAATTTATTTAATAAATCAAATAAAATTTTCTAATAAATTAACAATGAAACCGAATTTAATAAATAATTTCCATTCATTTTATGATTTTTCAATTAAATCAATTAAATTGGAAGATATTAAGAAGCTATTTTATTTCTAAGACATATTTTACGAACCAGTCGAACGGATAAAATTGTATATGAATGTATCCATCTTCGCTCAAATACCACCTGTATTAATAATGTTATCGTAGAGTGTCGCCTTCGCTGGGCAGAGCACATTCTCCGTCGTTCACCACAGGAGTTAACGCATATTTCGTTACTTGCTAAACCCTATGATGGTTGGCGTAAGAAACGAGGAGGGCCAGTCAAGAGCTGGACTGACATGGTCAGGAAAGAATGTTTAGGGGGACCAGAGATACATGGATTTAGACGATGGAAAAAGGAATGGCTTCTATTACTACTAGCGATGGCGTCGGACCATACAACTTGAAGACATCTTATCCTTGTAGCCAGCGGAGCCAGCCTAACCAGTAATGATGAGAGCTGTTCGAAAAAGAATTAAATGAATTTATCACAGCTTATTTTAAAATTCTCACCAATATCATAGCTTATTACAAAATTCTCATCAATATCACAGCTTATCTTAAAATTCTCACCAGTATCAGGTATAACTTCAATAAATGAAGCTGATCGTGTACCATTAAATTCACTTTTATTATAAATATTTGGAGAGCTTCCATTAAGCGAATTCTGCGATTGTGGCACATGCGGTAATGAACGAGCTTCATTTTCTTTTTTCGTATCACATCGTCGCACTGAAATTTATTTATTTTTTTATTAATTTTTTTTTTATTTGATATTAATGCTTTTAGGAAAAATTAGTAGAAAAAAAGCTGTAGAAAAAAAAGCTCGTTTAAAAGCGATTCCATGCATTGCTATATAGAAATAAATCTCTTATTAATTAATTAATATGTGAAAAAAACTAAAGAAAAGTTAGAAAATTTCTACAGTTTAAAGAAATAATCACGCAAAAAAAAAGTTATAAATACAAAAAAATAAGTAATCATGCAATTCGTGAATTTTATTCTTTCAACGTAAAAAAAAAAACTAAAAAAAGAGGAAAAAATTAAAAAAAAAAGAATTAAAATTTTTTTCTCAGATCAATCGAATAAATATGAAAAATTAAGAATTAATGTTAAATTTGGAAAAAGTGGAAAAAAAATCCGCGGGGGGGGGGGGGGGGGGGGGTAATGCTGAGGGACCACTTATATTTCTATCTCCAATTCTATCATAGACTGAGACAATTTCGCTAGTGAATCCATTTCTCAGCAGCATTTTTCAATATTCTTGCGAAAAACAACAGCCCTACCATAATGCTAAAAATGATTATCGAAATAAATCAC